CTGAATAAATTGAACACCCATTGCTAGAGATATTTAAACTGCCTGTTTTGCAACCATCACCCAATAATCTTTATTAAACATTAAAACATACAGTTGTCAAATGCGCTCAAACACAGTCCTTATCTAATTTCAAGATTAAGCAGCTTCATATATCATGAAGTATATTATGCTTATTCTAACGTTTCAGTCTTTAGTTTGCAGAAAGCTGGATGGGATATGCAGGTCCTGGCTATGGAATACTGAGCCTAGTTGTCTCTGATAAATACATTTGGTGCTTGGATTACAAAGGTGGCCTGTATTGTAGCGCATTACCTAGTGCTGGGCTGCGTTGGCAGAAGTTTGAAGATAATGTCCAGCAGATGGCAGTCTCTCCTTCAGGTTAGTTAGATTTGCATTGTTAGCCTATTGTCCTAGGGTAGAAAAATGGTTTGAGTGCATTTGTTATTTGTTCAATTTATATGGGTATATCAAAATATTGTAGACTCTGCAGGAATGGATTTCAAACTATATTTTGTAGAAATGCCATTTTCAACTGTTTTAACCTCAGATTGCAGATATTTATTTGAATGTCCTCTTGGAAGACTTCTCATTGCTCACAAAGAGAAGTGAAGTAATAGAAAGATATATTCTAGTGTTTTTATCAACAAAATATTCTGTAACATTTTGATTCCTGGTCCTGAAAATGGTGGAGTTACATATGTAAACTGCCTTTACACCTCCTTTTGCACTAGATTGTTGTAGTTTTGACCTTGAGGTTTTTCCATCCCTTAAATCCATAACCAAAGCTAGGATATTATGTATGTCAACTGTGTTTTTTTGTCTGTCCATGATCAATGTAGAAATAAATCAGGAGCAATCATCACAACATTTTATATTCTGTTTCTTTCCTTTCTCTTCTCTGAGTAAGTCTATTATGTCTATGTCCCATAATTTTCTTCAGCTTTTAGGCTTTCCCTAATGACCCATGCCTGGCTAGTACTGTAGGTCTATTTTGTACTTCTTATTTGACAAATACTGTATCAATTTCTCTAATCGCCAGTGTCAGTGCTGTCGGATAGAGAAACTAATTAAGCCTCTTTCTTTTATGAGAGGTCTGTCTTAGGTGATTGCTTGAACAAATTATTCCCTATTTAGAAGTAGCTATTCATTCAACTACAATAGATACACTGATTCTATTGTAGGATTACTACATTTCTGTAAAGATTGCTTGTTTCAAATCTTTACATTTTATTTTGCATGTCAAAAGAGAACCAATAGAGCAGTGCTTTAGGCTTTCAGTTTAAAAGGCATGACATAAATGAAAAATGATTTGGAGGAGAAAGGAATACTACATGATTTATAGGTTACTTCTTCGTATTCATTATCTTAGCCTTTCCCTGATGTTGAATTCTGGAAATAAGAATGACCAGAGAGATGTCTTATTTGCAGTGGCTGTCCTGTAAAGAATACTTGCAGGATGATTTTATTCATTGTCCTGACACTTGAGAAGAAAGCCTACCTTGAGCTGACATTTTTCATGCTTTGAGTGGGATTTTTAAAACTCTACAACTGCCTTGTGACTGTTCCTCTAAAACAGCGGTTCTCAACCTATGGGTCGCGACCCCATTTGGGGTCGATCGACAATTTCACGGGGGTCGCCAAGCAAGGCTGTCCGCCATTTTTTCCCCCTTTTCCGGCGGGTGCCTTACCTCCCTTGAGCTGGGCCAGCTGATGGTCGGTCTGCTCCATCTCTGCCGCTTGCCAGCTATGCCTCGGCCGGCGCAGGGGGCGGAACCACGCATGTGCGGCGCTCCCGGGCAGAGAAAGTCCTCGACTTACGACCGGTTGGGTAGTCCTCGACTTACGACCGGTTTAGTCCTCGACTTACGACCGGTTGGGGGTCGTGGCATTAAAAAGGTTGAGAACCACTGCTCTAAAAGAACCTAACCTTGTATGCATCCTTCATAAATTGCTGCATTCCACATATATTGGGACGTCATTTCCATACTCCCGTCTCTTTGTTCCCACTGCCATGGTGGTCAGACCATCACCAGGTTGATTCTGAAGACTGTCTTAGACTTTAAAATAGCTGCTACTAGCAAACGAGAAATTCATTAGATTTAAAAGTAATCTCTTGTGAATAATTTTATTTATGTGAGGTTTCTTCATAGGGACTCTTTTATGGAAGATTGAGCAAAAAACCAATAAAGCTTTTGCCTGTGGCAAAGTAACTATCAGAGGAAAACGTCACTGGTATGAAGCTTTACCTCAAGCAGCATTTGTATCCTTGAGTGATGACACAGCCTGGATAATCCGAACAAATGGTGATCTGTATTTACAGACAGGTATTTAAGCTAGTTTTTATTTTTCTTCTGGAATTATCTGCTTACTAAATTACATTCTGAGAGAATGCTTCAAAATTTAGTTGAGATTTTTCAGTAAAAAGTCCCAAGAAGCAAGGCAGACAGTTTTCCTAGAAAGACGTTTTGTTTCCATCATGAATCTTCTCCTACAATGGGTTGATTACACTGTGAAGTCCAGTTGCAACTCTGTTATATGATGTGATGGCTAGATTGTGCTCATTTGTACTAAGTACAACCTAAAAAAACTCTACGCAATTTTGTTACAATTTAATGCAAAAAAATATTAATGCTAATAAAAGTGTTCCCTGAAAGAGAGTTTTGAAAACGTAAACCAAATAGAAATTATTAATTGCCCGATCCTGTTTGTTTTAGCTATGTTAAATAGTTTTAGTTTAAAGTCCTTTGTGGGTTTGTTGGCTTGAAATTCAATCTTGCTGGTCTACGATGGAAGGAGTCCTTTAAAAATGTTTTGTCTGTCAAATGACTGATCCAACAAAGATTTCTGTTGAAGAGTAAGAGGGAGCATTATTTATTTAGGGAAATGTTTAAACTGCCTTAGTATTAAATAACAATGCATAAAAATCAATGGTATTGAATCAAAATACTTGTCACATTATGCTGTAAAATTCCCTCACCTAGTAGTAGACTGGCTTTTCAGACAACGTACAAGTCTGCACACACAAAGGGAAATCAGCAAAATGTTCTTCCTTGCTTGGAGAAGCACACAGTTAACAGTTTTTCATTCTCAGCAAGCCTGGAACCACCAGCCATCGTATTCAGGCTGCTGTGTCATACTAATGGGCAAGCAAATACACGGAAGCATCTGTTTGTCTTCACAGTTTTCATGTTTTGATGATACCTAATTCAGCAGTAGAAGGAATGTTTGTCTGAGTGTGCAACCGTAGAAATAGGAATTATAAATAAATAAATAGCCTCAGCCTCAATAGGGAAAGTAATACAAAGCTCTCTTTGTATTTAACACCAGAATGACTTTTCTCTTATTGATTAAAAAAAAATACTCTGACATTTTTAGAATTTCCAAACATAGGTGTTTATTAGTTTGCCTTTACTTGTGTCCTTTATTATAATGCAAAATATGGCTGTAATGATTGAATAGCTGGCCTTTTTCTGTGAGCTAATTACTGGTTCTCACAGCAAGTATTTTGGTTTGTAATACAGTATGTTTTTGGCCTGCAGGAATTCTCAGATGTCTGGCCAACTATGCCTCCCCTCTCCCTGAGAAATTTAATCTCACTGTTGGAAGCTCGACCAAAGATTGCAATGAAATTTAGGAGGAGGGGATTATATATTTTGCCCCTGCTGTGGCAGTATATATGTGCTCCAGTAATTGTACAGGGTCTAATATTTGATCACATGCAGTGGTCAAATTCAGTGGCAAAATATTTCCAGATTTTAGCCCACCCAAATATGAAATATTTTATTCCTACTCCTTAGAAGTTTCTAACCCTGCTAATGGGAGTAGTG